TTGAAGTTTATTTGGAGAGTTTGCGTGAGTCCAGCCACGGATCAACATCTTTTATTTCACATTTTTTTTGCGAAGTACATTTGTCGGAAAAGCAGAATAAGGCACGGTAATAATATTACGTAGCAAAAAAAAACTGGCGGCGAATACATGTAAATTGGAGCACATAATTGAAAGCACGGCATTAAGTACGGTACGTGGTTTTTGGCAAACAACAAAAAAATCTGTGCAAGGAAATTGCGGCAACGGAATCATTCCAGACTTTTCGACAAGTATTCAGGTTGGCTAGCGGAATTTGAAGACAGGTGAGTGCTTTGGGGAAGATGTATGGGGTTGGTTTGTTAGTGTGTTAACTTGTGTGCACGAATAACGGAAACTGCTGATCATAAGAGCACTCAAAGTACAATAGCGGCTTGTTAATATATATGCACTGATGAACATTAGAGTGCGCCAAAAAACATACGGAGGGCCAAAAGAATAATCGCATATGCTGTGCCAAATTTACGCCTATTTTATTGTACTGTATCAAGCTTCGCAAATTATATGTATGCTACTACAAATGGAATGCGCATAGTCAAAAATAATTTATATTGCGAACGATTAACGTGCACCAAAAAGTATATGGCTTAATAGCGAATATTTTATGAGATTTATGGTATTGAAATAAAGAAATTTTTAGATTGTTTGTATGCGGAGTGGCAGTCAATCTGCGCCTCAACTAACTTTATTATATTTACGTTGTTAAAGCAGTTCTAAGGAACAGTAAGTCAATCATTGCCTTGTGAATTATATGTATGCAGATGCTGATCTGCGTCTCAATTTAATTTGATTTATTTGTCCCTGCGTCCCTTAAGAACACTAAGCCGAAAGTTTTCTGGCTATTGAATTATTGTGAGCGGATGTTATCGACACCAGTTGCCCCTGCGTCTTAAGTTATCGACCCAATAGTTGTTGGTTTGCCAATCATTAGGGCTGCTCGAATGCAAACAGGTTTGCGAATTATTGGTGCGCATGCAAAACGTTGACCCGGTGTATAAGCTACATTAACCCTGCGTGTCCTACCCGAAATATTAGTTGTCTGTAGACCTGCGTTACTTATAAATCTGCGTACCTTGCATAGCAAATTTGTGGTTTTCGGTATCGAATAGGGTTTAGGCCTCAGCAAGCACATTTAGCTTAGAATTGGTAATTGAATACGTAAAGACATGCCGAACTTGCGATCTGGAGGTAGGACCAGTGCAACCGAGGAGTGGTTGGACGACTTAAATACAACGATTCAGCAACAACCAGCGGAAACGGGCGAAGCTCAACCAATGACGATGGAGGCTAGACTCGACATGATGCAGCGGCAGATGCAAGACCTACAGGCGGAACTACGGCAGAGTCAGCAACAGCATGAATTGCTAGCAGCGGCTTCTAGACCACCAAGCAACGTGAATGTGGAAAGCGTAAACGGGTCATTGGTAGGGGTGTTAAGTGATCTACATCGAACATTGGCAGACAGCAGAGCAACGCATGGGCGCAAGTTATACGATTTGCCTGAATTCGATGGGCGGCCTGAGGACTGGCCCATGTTTAGGGAGGCGTTTACGATGACCACCGAAGAGTACCACTATAATGATAGGCAAAACATGATGCGCTTGCAAAAAGCCATTAAAGGTCGAGCAAGGGAGGTGGTTGAATGCTTACTAATTCATAGCGGCAACGTGTCTCGCGTTCTTAGCACCCTTGGGGATAGGTTCGGTAGGCCAGAGCAACTGGTGAAAAGCCAAATTGCAAAAATACAGGGTGTAGCTCCTATAGCGGAAAATCGTATCGATCAAATCGTCCCGTTCGCTACGAAAGTACAAAATTTATCATCATTTCTACAGTCTGCTAACTGCGATCATCACCTATCGAACCCCACGCTTATGGATGAACTACTATCGAAATTGCCGGTGCAAAGGCGGATTGACTGGGCCAGGCATGCGTTGACGATAGTACCGAGACCGAACATATGTCATTTCAGCGACTGGTTGCAGGAGCTTTCAAAGTTGGTGGCGAGTGCTATGGTAAACACTAATGCGGATTCCAGGCAGAGCGGGCGAGGCGAAAATCGTACGCGTTTCTTTCATACGCAGGATATAAACAGTGGCAATCGGGATCCTAGCGTATGTGTTCTTTGTAAAGGTAGACACAGTATAAATCGGTGCAAGCGGTTTCTTGATATGCAGGTGGGTCAGCGATGGCGTGTAGTGCGTCAAAATAAATTATGTTTCAATTGTTTGAAAAGCGACCATAGGAGCGGCGATTGCACCGAACAACACAGATGCGACGTGGATAGGTGTACGCGGAAGCAGCATGAACTACTACATTTTCGGGAGCAAGGAAGTACAGATGGTCAGCGTCAATTGGAAACTGCGACGCGGCAACAAGTCCTCACTAATACAATCGTCGACAAACCAAGTTCAAAATTATTGTACAAGATCCTGCCAGTGCGGTTGTACGCCAACGGTCGAGTCATAAGCACCTTTGCCCTCTTCGATGATGGTTCGGCAATCTCGATGATGAACAGCGAATTGGCTGGTCGTCTAGGTCTCAAAGGACAGAAGGAAAACTTAACGCTACAATGGTTTGGTGGTACCACAGTTACGGAGCAGTCAAGCAGGGTCGATGTGGAAATATCCGGAGTTGCAAAATACAACAAAAGGTTTTCGTTGCGGAACGTTAGAACCGTAGCCAATCTTCAACTGCCGGCGCAAACACTCCAGCGGTCAGAGCTGCATTACAGACATCGTCACTTGCCGATCAAGGAGTATGTTGGAGCGGTTCCAGAGCTATTGTTAGGGTTAGAGAACGCGCATCTGAGTATTTCAAAGAAAACTGCTGACGATGGAGGGAATGGCTATTCGGTGACGCTCACGAAACTGGGATGGATCGTCTACGGAGGTAATGACCGAGACATTGGAGATAGGCGGCAGTTTGTAAACTTCGTTAAGACAGATGACAGTGCTGAGCGGCTTGAGCGTTTGGTGAGTGAGTACCTAATCAACGAAGATCTCGGAGTTCGCGATGCTGTAGAGGTAGTAGAAGCTGCAGATATTGCTAAAGCAAAAACGTTATTGGAAGAAACAACAGTAAGAAAGGGTTCACACTTTGAGACAGGTTTGCTTTGGAAGCACGCAGATGTAGCCCTACCAGATAGTCGAAAAATGGCAGAGAACCGGATGTTAGCCCTGGAAAAGAAGTTTAAGCGCGATGAAAATTTTAAGTCTGCATACGTCAAGGTAATAGAGGAATACGAAGCCAAAGGTTATGCGAGGAAGCTGACGCCAGAGGAGATCACGGCAGGAGGGAAGCGTAGCTGGTACCTACCACACTTTGGAGTTTGGAACGCGAACAAACCTGGAAAGATGCGACTTGTATTTGATGCTGCGGCCAAAGTCAACGGTGTGTCATTGAACTCGGCATTGTTAAGTGGGCCGGATCTAAACCAACCACTCGCAACTATTTTGTTGAAATTTCGGGAGAGGCCAGTTGGTGTATGCGCCGATATAGTGGAGATGTTCCACCAAGTCAAGATACGTTCGCAGGATCAAGCAGCACAACGCTTCATATGGAGAACAGACTCTAAGCAGCCATTTGTGGTATATGGCATGGACGTGATGACGTTCGGGGTTACTTGCTCACCGAGCTCGGCCCAGTTCGTAAAAAACAAAAATGCAGAGGAGTTTAGGGAACAATTTCCAGAAGCGGCGAATGCAATAATCAACAATCACTATGTCGACGACTTCGTGCACTGTTTCTCTACCGTCGACAAGGCAATCCGAACAACGAAGCAGGTAGCTTGGATTCATAAACAAGGAGGGTTTGACTTAAAGCGGTTTGTGTCCAACTCTGAACAGCTCATGAAACAAATGAATAACGAAGAAAAGCGTCCCGCCTGCTTGAATCTTGATAGAGATAATGTTGGTATTTTTCAGAAAGTCCTTGGGCTACATTGGGATACGCTTAACGACGATTTTAGATTTGTTCTCTCGTTTGCAAAGGTCGATCCAATTGTGCGGGCTGGGACAAGGAGACCCACAAAACGCGGACTACTGAGCGTCACAATGTCGGTGTTCGATCCGTTCGGAATGGCGGCGGAGTACACTATGGAAGCAAAGCTTCTGCTGCAGGCGACTTGGCGAGCTGGTATCGACTGGGATGAACCTATTCCAGATGAATTGCAAGAAGCATGGTTGAGATGGTTGACGGCGATCAAGCGTTTGGAAGAAGTAAGCGTGCCGCGGTGTTACGGATTAGGGTTCCATCAGTTACCAGTCGAATTACACGTATTTGCGGACGCGAGCGAGGTAGCTTATGCAGCGGTAGCGTACTGGAGGTTCCCAGAAGGTACGAGAAGTCCAAATCCCATATTCATCTCAGGAAAGGCCAAATGCGCACCATTGAAGCTTACATCAATCCCCCGACTGGAGCTGCAGGCAGCAGTGTTGGCTACACGTCTTCGGAAGAGCATCCTTCAATGTCATGGAAAAATCCCTAAAAGAGTCGTAATGTGGAGCGACTCGAAAACTGTCCTAGCTTGGGTGAAGTCTGACTATTGGCGCTATAAACCATACGTGGCGCATCGTGTTAACGAAATTTTAGAGGCTAGTGATGTAAACGAGTAGGCGATGGGTTCCAAGCGCATTAAATCCAGCGGATTGGGGAACGCGTCCGAAGGCCGATAGAAGAAGCTCAACATGGATTAGTGGGCACCCGTTCTTGTCGCAAGACGAAAGCTTATGGCCGTCCAACGAGGTTACCCCGAACACGCAAGATGAGCTAAGAGCGAATTTTTCAGTTTTGACAGTAAATATCGACAATGCCATGTTCACCAAATTTTCATCATTGGTCCGTTTAACAAGACTGGTAGGCTGGATATTGCGGTTCCAAAACAATTGCCGCAAAGACGCAAGCGAGAAGCGTTCTGGAGGGCTCAGTGCTTTGGAAATAAAGAGCGCGGAAATAGCTATAATCAGCTCGGTACAAAGACAAAGCTTCGCGGACGAATATTGTGCACTGATTGCAGAGAAACAGGTGGAACGCAGCAGCCCCTTGAGGACCCTAACACCGATGTTGGATGAAGAGGGAGTGATACGAGTAGGTGGGCGAATAGATGCAGCAGTAGCCATTCCACCGCATTCACGTAGACCAATAATCTTGCCTAAACGTCACCATGTTACTGCGCTTGTAGTGGATTATTACCACAAAATCTGGAAGCATCAAAACGAAAGTACAATAGTTGCAGAGATACGACGGCGATACTGGATCCCGCAGATCAGAACAGAGGTGCGACGCGCAATGAAAAAATGTCCAGTTTGTATAAAAGAAAAGGCTAAACCAAACCCTCCGCAAATGGGTCAACTTCCACCGGATAGACTTACACCTTTCGTAAGACCATTCACTTACGTAGGTCTTGACTACATGGGTCCGTTTACAGTCGCGATTGGCAGAAGAAGTGAGAAGCGTTGGATTGCGCTATTTACATGCCTTACTGTGCGGGCGGTACATCTGGAGCTCGCAAGGGACTTGACAACGGACACTTGTCTTATGTGTATACGAAATTTTATGAACCGCAGAGGAACGCCGGTGCGCATCAGATCGGACAACGGCACGAACTTCATTGGAGCTGATAAAGAGTTGAGGCGACAGAGAATCGACTTCGATAACGGCGTTATATCTAATGCGCTGGCAAACAAGAACATCGAGTGGGTTTTCAATTGCCCGTTGAATCCCCATGCTGGCGGCTGTTGGGAAAGACTCGTCCGTAGTGTGAAACGCGCCATGGGGCACGCTCTCAACAACGAAAACATCCAGGAGCACTGCCTTTATAGCCTAATGTGCGAAGCGGAGAATATTGTCAACGCAAGACCATTGACGCACATACCGTTGGACGAACACACTGACGAACCGCTAACCCCTAATCATTTTCTCCTAGGTACTCCCAATTCCGAGCAAACGCCACATCCGCAAGAGGAAAAGATGATACCAACCCGAAAAATGTGGTACAAGGTCCAACAAATGCAGCACAGGTTTTGGCGGAAGTGGATAGATGAGTATTTGCCAGACCTAACGAGGCGAACAAAATGGTACGGAGTGCAGAATCCTCTAGCCGTAGGTGATGTCGTCCTCCTATGCGACACCAACGTACATCGCTCCAAGTGGCAGATGGGGCGAATCACACAAGTATTTCCAAGCAAAGACGGGCAAGTAAGAGCCGCGCTAGTGCAAACGAAGGACGGCGTTTACAAACGAGCAGCCTGTATACTGGCCAGGTTAGATTTGGTGAATCTGGGCAGATCCACGGAGGCGGGGATGTTGGCGCGGCCTAGCAGCAAATGATATTTAAAGTTTTTGTAAATCCCAAGTATGTGGAAACCCTATGTATTGTACTAAATTATTGTAAAATCTGTATAAGTGGCAACGCTGTACCAATATTGCACAAATATGACAGTCATAATGTACGAAAGAAAATAGCGGGCATTCGTGGCTGGCATATTGGAGCAAGAAGGTTGCAATCACACAAATGTGTAAGTAGAAAAATTCAACATTGTTAACCTCGTAATATTCTTTATTATATTTGTCATTCAAATGTACTTCGAACAGGAAATAAAACACAATTCATCTCCATTTATTAATATGCTACGCAAATAAGTTGAAGTTTATTTGGAGAGTTTGCGTGAGTCCAGCCACGGATCAACA